ACACTGCCACTTTCCTCTGGTTACTTCATGTTGACAGAAGACCCTTGGGAAATCTGCCTACTTCCAGAGTTTGAAAAAGGAGCATGGGCCCCCTTGTTTTTAAATCCCCACATAAATCTAGGCATCTCTATCGCTCACACAGATTTTGACCCTAAGGCAAGAGCTCACACTAGCACCCAAACTCCCTCACTCTCCTTCCCTATTCCTCTCTAGGTTTCTTTTTTCCTCAGCCCAAAAGGATTCCTACTTCTCTCTGTGTGGTGCAAAATCTGCTCCTGAACAATCATAAATTCTCACACATTCTGTAGTTGAAAAAGGAGAGTGCTCTGAGTCCACTGGGCTCTTACCTGTGTGTGTACTAGTATGTGTGTGTTGCGGGGAGTTGAAAAAGGCTTTCTCTTTCAAAGTTAGTATGCTTTCACTGCCTTTCAAGAACTTCCTTAGGAACTAAAAAAGAATAATCGCTTTTTCTTGCTGAGATTCCTTCCCCCGACCTTTATTCTTTGTTTCCTTAACACATTAAGCCTTAGCCTCAGGGTTTATAGTCAATTATGCTTACGAAGGAATTGGCAAGAAGGAAAAATACAATACATTGGGTAATGCTTCAAAAATCTTCTGTTAAGATTGTCTTTGACTACTTCTTTTCTGGTTTCCCTGCATTCTCCTACACTATTAACATCGGTGTTAATCAAAACATTGTCAATGAATAGCTTCTGTTCTTTCTATATACTTTCTTTTAATGCTTAAATATTGTTTTGTACCTGTAATTCTTCACTTCTTTGGGGTCATGTACCTCTTTGAGATTCCATTAAAAGTGGAGGAATTTTTACCCAGACAAATGCACTTAAGCTTACACATATTGCATTAGTCCACTTTTGCTGTAATGATAATAAGAAATACCCATAGATTGGGGGGTTTAAACAGCAATCATTTATTTCTCTTAGTTCTGGAGGCTAGGAAGCCTAAGATCTGTGTCTGACAGGGACCTACTTCTTGGTTCTTAGACCATTGTCTTTTGTGTCCTCACATGGCAGAAAAAGCAAGGGAGCTTTCTAGGGTTTCTTTTAAAGGTCACTAATCCCAATCATGAGGGCTCCACCCTCATAACCTATTCACCTACCAAAAGTTCCACCTCTAAGTACAATTGCATTGGGGGTTAGGATTTCAACATACGAGTTTTGGGAGGACACAAACATTCAATCCATAACATACCTGAATTTTTTCACTATTGAAGAGGCTCACAGAGTTTCTTACACCTATTATGGAAACTATGGAGGACACAATTACTTGAGTTAAAACCACTTGTCTGGCTTGTTTATTGCTATATTTCCAAGGCCTAAAAGAACACCTGCCACAAAAAAAAGTACTCAGAATCAATTTTTCAGTCAAATAAATAAAAATTAATATTTCCACTCTCATCTCTCTCCTGAATTTTAGCCCATTTTAGTCACTGCCATTCAGATGTCACCTCAGAATCTTAAACTCAATATATCCAAACAGAAGTATTATCCTTCACTTTTGTTCCCTATTTAAACCTATGGCCCCTGCTCTCCTCCAAGCTTTTCTGACTCTACCTTCAGCATTTTTAATTCCTTCTCCTCTTCCTTTACATTCAGTTGGCTTCCAACGCCTATTGATTCTGTCTCCACAGCATTTCCCACTTCCCCACAATCTATTGGCACTAGATGAAGAAGGCACTTTTGAAGTATCTACCCAGCTCAAAATGACCCATGACATTCAATTCCTTGCCCTCAGGCTGAGTTCCAAAGAGTTACTAAGTTATGTTTATCCATTGCCCCCCCATGTCTATAGTTAATTGGACACCTGATTAAAGCTGGGTCAATCACATTCTATCTTTTAGAAATTTGGAATTAGGACTGGGAAATTTTAATTCACTTTCATTAATTTTTCAAATATAGGCTATGTAAAATCGATAGAGTCCTAAGACATCCCCCTTCAATCAGGTGGAGTGAATAGCAGAAAAAGAAGATATGATGAGAGAAGAGAATAAAACAGTCATTCAGGGAGAAGCAGGAGGCAGCAAAGCAGACTCCAGAGATAGTGTCGCTGGTTCCTGACAGCCCAGCACCAGGTTCTTTTCTGTTCCTGAAGTCTGGTTGCATTCCTGCCGGTGAGTTCTGTAGGACACCTTTTTTTATTCTTATTCTCTTTTAAGAAGTTTTCTAGATTACATTGTTTGCTTTCTCTAGCTCCTGGCTTTCTGTTATTTGTGAGGCTATATGTTAAAGTGGAATATGATCTGTCTTTGTTTCAGCTAGGGCAATAATAGATGCCATATCTCAATGTTAGTTGAGAGATAAACCTATGGTGTCTGTAAATATTAACACAACTTTTGAACTCCCTCGCTCACATGAGGCTGTAAAAGAGCTGAGAGGGTGGAGAACAAGAGAGAATTTGTGAGAGGATATCTTTGCAGGGACTTCAACCTCCCAACATTGGGGTTCTTCATTTCTACCAAACTTCAATGGAATTTGGCTGTGTGTTCTTTTAAAAAGGGATCCTTTCCATGAGAGAATGCCCAAAGGGCATTGCAATTGATTGAGGGAAGATCAAGAACATCCAGAAAGAGAAAAGGCATAGTCATGTCAAGACCGTGCAGCCTCGTTGCTGCCCAAGCACATATTTTGTGTTTAAAACTCTGGCAATTATTCTGTGTGCTGCTTATTCTGCACTATCTTTACCAAATTATGGTGACTGGAACAGTAGGTTTGGATATGAAAGCAGCTTGCCCTGCCAATGGGTTGGCCCTCACCATCTGGGAGGTACTTGAGCAAAATTGGTGTGACACCCCAATCTTATCTCCTGTTAAAGCAACTGCTGCCTGGCCAGAACTTAGATGCATACTCGCACCTCTCTCAAGGGAGGCCGGGAATTATTGACTTTAGCTGGGCTGCTTTTTGATCAGCTAACACTCTCGAGTTCTTTTGCTAATAAAAGAAAGGGAGAACAAATACCCCGGACAACTGGTTATCTTATCCACAATTCTTTTACTAATTCAATTGACATGACATACTACTGGTTGATTAGTCTCGCTAAAGTACAAGTTGATCAGTTCATGTATCTTTTCAAAAAAATTTCAATTATCTTCAATTTCCTGCTGAATATAGTTTAAACTCAGTTCCCCTTAAGATAATTCTTAGTGTTTTATTAGACAAATATAAACTTATCTGCTTTTCTATTCTTGAATATTTATATAATCTTTCTTTTGTTATTGTGAGCAATGTTAATATCCTTGTAGGTAACATGATTAGTGTTAGTCACTTCTAAAAGGGCATCTAAAAATTTTATTCACATTCCTTTATGGCATTTCATGTAACATGTAGCACAAGATACATGTTTATTAAATACTTGCTCTGTGAGTAACAAATGGGCTAACTCTGCCATGGACTAGTGAGCTACGGCCTCAGAATCTCCGGTTCACAAATTCAGCTCCAATAATTAAGCAAGTTCTAACAGAAAACATCAAAAGTAAAATAAGAAAGAGAAGAAAGAGCATGAAAGAGCCTGGAGAATTTAATACAATAGCATTAGTGTAGGTAATGCCAGCTGCTGTAACAAATAAACCCTCTATTAATGGTTTCACACAAAATGAAACTTGAGTTTTTACTCAAGCAGTTAGTAGTTTAATACTGATCTTCATGTTTGGGGAGAGAGAGAGGGTGGGGATGGTGGTCATTTTTCAGAAGCTAGGCTGACAGAAGCTCTGTTGTCTTCATCAATGTGTCTTCCAAAGGTGCTATTCTAGTTAGAAGCGAGGGAAAGAGGAATAGTGAGTAAGGCACACCTGATTCTTAATGACTGTGCCTGAAATTTACAGGTCTCTATTTAGATGCAACATGGGCCGGAACAAGCAGTCCCTGGTTGGGCAGCCTTATCCCAGCAACAACTCTACACCTGGCCCTCCCTCATCAACATTAGCTGAATAATCCCAAAATGCCTCAAAATCTGAATAGACTGCATATATGTGGAGGGAAGGCTAATTGAAAGGTGTGTACCTGTTGGTCTCCTTCATTTATTTCTCTCCCCACCAAAATGGTACTCATATATTCTTGGTTTCCTTTAAAATTTACTAGTAATCTTAAGAGTTGTCTCTCTCTTCTACTTAAAACTTAGGTTCGAAATAAATACAAGACTAGATAATTTCTAAAGTCACATTTTCTGAATGTGAGTTATCACTGTAAAGTGAAAAGAGCCTGGGATTTTTAATCAGACAGATTTGGGCTTCCTGCCTAGCCCACTGCAAAGTGTGTGTGTGTGTGTGTGTGTGTGTGTGTGTGTGTGTGTGTGTGTGTGTGTTAAAATATGTTTTTATTGGTTTTAAAAGAGAGAGGGAGTGAGGGAAGGAGAAAGAGAGAGAGAGAGAGAGAGAGAGAGAGAGAGAGAGAGAGAGAGAGAGAGAGAGAGAAAGAGAAACATGGATGTGAGAAACACATTGATCGGCTGCCTCCTGCACATTCCCCACAGAGGATCCATAAGGGATCGAGCCTGAAACCCAGGGATGTGCCCTGACTGGGAATTCAACCAGCAACCTTTTGGTGCATAGGATGATGCTCAACCAACTGAGCCGCATTAGCCAAGGCTAACTGTACAAATGATTTTTGGCACAAATGATTTAACATCTCTCAGTTTCAATTTGCCCATCTGTAAAATAGGGAGGAGCACTTGGCTGGCATGAGATAACTATAAAATGCTTGGCTTTAGCCTATATTACCTTTTCAAAGACTTGATCTCACCAGACTGGATGTGCTAGGTGAACTTACATAATGTTGAAAATTTACTTTCCTGTTTCACCCTCCCATATTTATTCTACAACTGGCTCCTTGTTCTAATCTTTCTTCCCCCGGTAATGAACCTAGTCATTCCTTCTGCTCTTTTCATCATTTTCAGTTCAATGCCAAATCTAACTTCTCTCTACTAACAAAACCTTATCTTGTTGTCTGAGTTTGTTTGTTTTTTTTTTCTCTCTCTTTTTTTTTGTTAAAAATATGGAATGCTTCACGAACCTGCGTGTCATCCTTACGCAGGGGCCATGCCAATCCTCCCTGCATCGCTCCAACCTTAGTATATGTGCTGCCGAAGAGAGCACTCTGAGTTTGTTTTTATCTGTGTTTTAGCCAAATTCACTCATAATCTCTTCTGAGTAATTCTCCTCTCAACTTAATGCAGACCCTGGAGCTCTATCCACTGAGCCAAACTGGCCAGGGCTATTGTCCTACTCCTTGTCCCCATCCCATTCTGAGCTCTCTCTTAGAGTCTATAAAGAATTACTCAGTGGACTGAACAGATCAGACTCATACTCCACAAAGGCTGTCATGCCAGGAATTTATTGAAAGCCCTCTTGCATGTCATTCTGAAAAATGCAATTTTTACTCAAACCATCCTGTTGTAATTTTGGCCTCAAAGAGGGCTAATGTAATACTGACTTTCATATCACCATCTTTTCTGATTGTTTTCCATCAATAGATAAACATAGGCATTGCTGTCATGGGCACAGGAATATGACCCAGCCTTCAGCTTTCCCCTTTTCTCTTTCTCTTTCTTTCATTTACCAACTACAGAGGACAGAGAGTGAGCCCCCGTAAGTGGACTGCACTCACAAATATCCCGGGTTTGGCCATGCACTCCCCACTTTCATCTCTTAGCATTCTTGCCCCAAACCATTACATTTCCAGTGAGAATGGTGTGTTTCATCTGTAACTACAAATAGAGTGGGAAAATGAGGCCACTGCAGGTAAAATCGCATATAGCAGACACTTGCTGTTATTTCTGGCTAGCTAGCCATCAAACCTCCATTTCACTTGGGGGAACTTTCTCCCGCAGCCCTGTATGTGCCTTGGTGAGAGGTAGGCACATTAGCCTAGATCAGTGATGGCGAACCTATGACACGCGTGTCACAGGTGACACGCGAGCTCATTTTTTTGGTTGATTTTTCTTTGTTAAATGGCATTTAAATATATAAAATAAATATCAAAAATATAAGTCTTTGTTTTACTATGGTTGCAAATATAAAAAAATTTCTATATGTGACACGGCACCAGAGTTAAGTTAGGGTTTTTCTTTTTTTTAAATTAAATCTTTATTGTTCAGATTATTACATTTGTTCCTCTTTTTTCCCCCCATAACTCCCCTCCTCCCAGTTCCCGCCCCACCCTCCGCCCTCACTCCCCACCCACTGTCCTCATCCATAGGTGCACGATTTTTGTCCAGTCTCTTCCCGCATCTCCCACACCCCTTTCCCCCCCAAGAATAGTTAGTCCATTCCCTTTCTATGTCCCTTTCTATGTCCCTGATTCTATTATGATCACCAGATTATTTATTCACTTGATTCTTTGATTCACTTGTTGATAGATGCATGTTTGTTGTTCATAATTTGTATCTTTACCTTTTTCTTCTTCTTCCTCTTCTTAAAGGATACCTTTCAGCATTTCATATAATACTGGTTTGGTGGTGATGAACTCCTTTAGCTTTTCCTTATCTGTGAAGCTCTTTATCTGACCTTCAGTTCTGAATGATAGCTTTGCTAGATAAAGTAATCTTGGTTGTAGGTTCTTGGTATTCATCACTTTGAATATTTCTTGCCATTTCCTTCTGGCCTGCAAAGTTTCTGTTGAGAAATCAGCTGACAGTCGTATGCGTATTCCCTTGTAGGTAACTGAGTTTCTTTCGCTTGCTGCTTTTAAGATTCTCTCTTTGTCTTTTGCTCTTGGCATTTTAATTATGATGTGTCTTGGTGTGGTCCTCTTTGGATTCCTTTTGTTTGGGGTTCTCTGCGCTTCCTGGACCTGTAAGTCTATTTCTTTCACCAGGTGGGGGAAGTTTTCTGTCATTATTTCTTCAAATAGGTTTTCAATATCTTGCTCTCTCTCATCTTCTGGCACCCCTATAATTCTGATGTTGGTACGCTTGAAGCTGTCCCAGAGGCTCCTTACACTATCTTCATATTTTCAGATTCTTTTTTCATTTTGCTTTTCTGGTTGGGTGTTTTTTGCTTCTTCGCATTTCAAATCTTTGCCTTGATTCTTGCGCTCCTCTGGTCTGCTGTTGGGAGTCTGTATAGTATTCATTATTTCAGTCTGTGTATGCTTAATTTCTAGTTGGTTCTTTATCATAACATCGAGGGTCTCATTAGATTTCTTGAGGATCTCACTATATTTATCGGCAGCTTCTAGACAGTTCTTAAGAGACCTTAAAAGTGTGGTTCTGAACTCAATATCCTCCATTGACAGTTTTGTCCTGTTTCTTTGTCTCCGCATTTTTTATGCTTTCTTGGTGCACCCCCTAGTGGTCTTTGTGCGCAGTCTTGTTGTAGTTAAGCCTTGATTGTTGTTGGCAATACCGGGGGTGATTTGACCTCCAGGCTAACTGGCTATGAGAGTCCACTATGTCTGCAGTGGGAGAGCTTCTGTGCTGGATCTTTAGGGCGGTGCTAATCTAGCGTTGCGAGCAGTTATGGCTGCTCTCAGTTCTGTCCCTAGGGGCTCTGCCTCACAGAGTCCCAGCAACCGCTGCAAACCTCGGAGAGAAAGCTACCTTCGAGTTCCGACCGAAGCCAGACAGTCCCGCTTCTCCCGTTTGAGTCTGGGTCCCTAGAGACTCGCCCGGATCTGGAGCTCAGAGTCTGAAACTCCCTCCCGATTGAAAACAACAACCGCGCCCTCCGCCTCCAGCCCGCTCCACATGCACTCCGCACCTTAGTATTTCACTTCAGCACTGCGCCTCCTCTGAGTCTGGGTATGATATTCTCTTTCCTCCTAGTTGTAGAATTTCCACTCAGCCAGCCTTCCTGTGGTTCTGGATGATGACCGTTCCGTCTTTTAGTTGTTTTTTGAAGTGGTTGTTCGAGGCAGCAATCTCCGGCGTTAACCTATGCCGCCATCTTGGTTTCTCCCCGGAATTTGCCGGGTTTTTCAAAATGCTGACACGCCGAGCTCAAAGGGTTCACCTTCACTGGCCTAGATGTTTCTTTTCTAAACAACCACCTGGAAGCTTGAGCCTGTGACCTAGGCTTGCCCAATAAGATGCTCCCAACTGGCAGTGTTGTTTTAGACTCTTAATACATGAGGTGATTTATGCAGGAATAGATAACCGAAATATACTACCTAAGTGTGTTTATTATTAGAAGAATGAATAAAGTCCTCACTTGAGCAGAGTTCTCTTGTGACAATTCATGGTAAATGAATGCGATTCCACTTTGAAAGATCCAATAATATGCCTTAGAGCACAACTAGAAGTTACAGGACTCAGGCGCCCCCACATCCCCTGAAGAGTCTGCTGATAGATCCCAGTACTTTGTTTCACTGAGAGCACTCCAACCTCCTGTGGTTGCTGGGCTCTGCAGCCAATGTGCCACATTGATCTTTTATAATCAGATTAGAGACCCGGTACACAAAATTTGTGCACTTGGGGTGGGGGGGATCCCTCAGCCTGGCCTGTGCCCTCTCATAGTCTGGGAGCCCTCGGGGGATGTCCGACTGACAGCTATGCCCAATCCATCAGTTGGACATTCAGTGCTGCCACGGAGGTGGGAGAGGCTCCCACCACCGCTGCTGCACTCTCCAGCTATGAGCCTGGCTTGTGTCTGAGTGGTGCTCCCCCTATGGGAGAGCACTGACTACCAGGGGACAGCTCCTGTGTTGAGCGGGATCTGGCTGAAACTGGCTCTCCAATATCCCCTGAGGGATCCCAGATTGCAAGAGGGCGCAGGCCAGGCCCAGGAACCCCACTGGTGCACAATCAGGGCCGGGGAGGGATGCAGGAGGTTGGCCAGTGGGGGAGGGACCACAGGGAGGGCTCCAGGGTGTATCCAGCCCATCTTGCTCAGTCCCGATCAGCCAGACCCCAGAAGCAAGCTAACCTACCAGTTGGAGCATCTGCCCCTTGGTGGTCAGTGAATGTCATAGCAGTTGAGCAGCCTTAGCATATCATTGACATATTATGCTTTGATTGGTTAAATGGATGACCGGATGACCGGACACTTAGTATATTAGGCTTTTATTATCTAGGATAATGTATTTTATTTTAAACAAGAAAATTTTAAGAACAATCTTCAAAAGTGTGCTATAACCTGAAGTATCATTTGGTTATGTCCAGAACCCAAACTTCTTTTTCTCTATCAGAATACTTCCATACTAACGCTGAGAGCAATAGGGAAAATGTACTTGACAGCCACTTTTGCTAGAATATTGACTCAAAATTGAGGGTATTCCTAGGGAAACATGAGCAGTGAAAAACAACAGTGAGATGAACAAAATGCTAGACAAACGTCCAAAGGTTTTCCTGTTGACAAAATACTGATCTCTCTTGGCCTACATCTCTCCTGACTGCAACTCCAGGGGTAACTGGATCACAGGAGACTCCTCTGCAGAGGACAGAGAGAGTCTTTCTTTGGCCGATGAACTTGGATTCCAAGCCCACATGCCAATGGATATCACTTTAAGAAACCTAAACACCCCACCAGCATTTTGGATGAATCCTGGCTAGATAAGGATTTTTTTTTTTACTACCATATTCTTGCCATTGGGCAATTTAATGTCTCTGAGTCTCAGGCTCCTGGCAAAATAGTACCTGCCATTGCAAAAAACCAGGAGGATATGATAGCTCGCTAATGTCTATGAAAGAGCCTGGCTCAGAATAGGACTCTAAAAGTGGTCGTAATATTATGATCAGCTGTCTCCTACTGGGGAGGAGACAGATTATAATAGATTCTCCTGGGATTCCAACTTTCTTCCAGGATAGGGCAGACAACTTCTTGAAAGGAAATCCGTATTTTAAGCAACCCGTTGTTTTAATTACTTGAGCCCAAAGCCAATGAAGAGAGTTTGGGTTGAAGAGGATGGCTGCTGGAAGAGAACATTCGCTTTATGGGTGCCGGAAACAATGCCCTGAGATTCTAAATGACATTGAGGCCACCCCTGAAGCAAATGTGCATCTTTACAGAACACCACAGAAGAACTGCTTGCTGTCCTGACTATGTGCCTTCGAAATCTATGTCCCAGCTTGCCTGGTATTTCACCTAAGAGTTACCCATTCCGATTTTCCATTTGAACACTCATCTTCTGTTTGTCAAAATCAATTTGAAAACAAAAT